GAGTTATGTTTTAATAGATTTTAGAACATATTCTTTGCCCTAAAAAGAAACTCTTAGCCATCACTGCTGCCTTCCCCTAAGTCCTTACCTCAGCCCTTGGCAATCACTAATTAACTTTCTGTCTCTATATATTTACCTACTCCAGACATTTCACACAAATGTAATCTTATGATATGTGGTCCTTGTTGTCATTTAGTATACTGTTTTCAAGGGCCATCCATGGTGTAGTGTGTACCTATATTTCTTTTCAGCAAAATTTCTGCTGAAAATCAGCTGATAGCCTTATGTGGATTCCCTTGTGCATGGTTATTTTTTTCTTGCTGCTTTTAAGATTCTCTCTTTAACTTTTGACATTTTAATTATAACGTGTCTTGATGGGGATCTTTTTGGGTTCATCTTGTTTGAGACTCTCTTTGCCTGTGCGACCTGGATGTCTGTTTCTTCCCTAGGTTAAGGAAGTTTTTAGCCATTATGTCAAATACGTTTTCTGTCCCTTTCTTTCTCTCTTTCCCCTCTGGAACCTCTATAATGCAGATGTTAGTGCATTTTATGTTGTCCCTTGGGTCCATTAAACGATCCTCATTTTTTAACAATTCTTTTCTCTTTTTTGCCTTTCTGTTTGGAGATTTCCAAGACATTCCAGGTCACTGGTCTATTCTTCTGTATCACTTAGCCTGCTGTTGATTCCCACTAGTGTTTTACAGTTCACTTGTGTTCTTCAGCTCTGTGTATTCTGTTTGGAAATTTCTTATATTTTCTATCTCATTGTGGAATTTCTCACTGTGTTCCTCCCTTGTTCTCCCAAGTTCAGTGAGCATTTTATGACCATTGCTTTGAACTCTTTATCAGGTAAATTACTTATTTCCATTTCATTAGCTTTTTTTCTTCTCTAGGGTTTTACCTTTTTCCTTCATTTGGAGCATGTTCCTGTTTCCTCATCTTGCTTGATTCTCTTGTGCTTTTTCTGTGTATCGTGTAAAGCAGCTGTCTCTCCCTGTCTCCGAGGGGTGGCACTGTGGGAGATGAACCTTATTGCTTAACTTTTGCCCTAATTTTTGTTTGTTTCTTGAACTCTCTTTGCACTTGTTGGTGTTTGTGGTGTCCAGAAACACAGTCCTCCTGTCAGCCTGAGCCTGGCACTCAAGGGACATCCCCTGTGTAGGCTGTGCATGCCTGTTGGCTCCCATGGGATTGTGTGAGTGGAATGGGGGTGTGTGGCTGCTCACCAATGGCATGTATTGGTGTGTGACTTGAACAGGGCTGTTCACATGCCACTGTTAACAGGTTAGAATGAGAGTGCAAAATGGTACCTGCCAGCGCCGGTTAGGTGGAGGGAGCCTGTAAAAATGGCACCTGCCAGCATTCCATCCCTGGAGAGTCCTGGTAGACTTCTGCCCCTTTGACAGATGCTGTAAGATCAGTAAGTGAATTTCCTTCACATATGGGCTAAGCTCTTTAGAAACTATTGCTCTTTGCTCTGGGTCTTGGGGTGAGTGGTTCTATTGGAGAGGAGTGAAGTCTTTATTCCCTGCAGTCTGAGTTTCTCCATAAGATAATCCCTGTTGGTTTTCAGATCCAGACATTTGGGTGAGTCTCTTCTCTCTGATGTAGGACCCAAGGATTGTGGTGCCTGGTGTGGGTATAAACCCCTTACTTCTTGGGGAGAAGGTCCATTTGTTTGTTTGTTTGTCTGTTGATTGATTTGTTGATTAATTTATTAAGATTTCTCTTGATTGTGCGTCACCACATGAAAAGTGGGGTTTTCGGTGAGAGCATGCCTTTCCTACCCGTTTCAGTGTGACCCTTTATCCTTTGTTGTGGAGCTGGTGTTCAGATAGTTCTCAGGTTCTGTTCAGAGGAATTTATCCTCCTATGTAGCTGTCTATTTGTTATGTCTGTAGAAGGAGGTGAATTTAGGATCTTCCTATGCTGCCATCTTGAACCCAATTCCGCAATGGTTTGCTTACCGTCCGTTTGAGGTAAGTTTTGAAATCAGGAGATATGAGTTATCCAACTTTGTTCTTTCAAGATTGTTTTGGATATTCTGGGTCCATATAACTTTTAGGATCAGCTTGTCCAACTTCTGCAAAGAAGTCAGCAGAGTTTTCGATGGGGATTACTTTATTTGTAGGTAAGTTTTGGGAGGACTGCCATCTTAACAATAGTAAGGCTTCCGATCCGTAAACATGTTGTATTCATTCCCATATTCTCTTCAGCAATCAGTTTTTTCAGTTCAGTTCTTCTAAATAATGGGTTCTCATATTAGGTGTGTTGTATTTTGCAAGGTAACTTTAGTGAAGTTAAAGTCCTCATGCCTGGATTGTCAGGCATAGTGCAAAGGTTTAACTATTGCTCTTAATTAAGCATGATGAATTGATATAAAATGATTCTTGGAAATTATGTGAAGAAAATAGTATGAGTAATACATGCTTTATGCTTTTCGTATGAACCTTCACATGCAAAGTGGCATGGTTTATTTTGTAGATTGGTTTTTTAAATTATCATTTTTTATCCTAAGTATGTCTGGCATAGGACAGGGATGCTTTAGGCAAGCTTTCAGGTATAGTTATCTGGAGTAGGGGTGTATAACAGAAGAGTAACTTATGTGGCTGTAACGAGGGAGGTCCTGTAAAACTTTGCAATAAAATTTAAAATTTAAAACACTCTCAGTTTGTGTTTCTGTGGCATAAATAATCTTCCCAAGCTTGACATGGTCAGGTACCAATGATGTAATAATGATGATTATACTAGAAGCACCAAAGGCTACTCTTGGTATGCCATGTGGTGGGACTCCAGGCATGGTTAGTTTGAGTAATTGTTCTGAGGTCACATGGAGTTTGTCATCTTTCACAGAGGAATTTAATTCATTAGTGTAAGACATCGCAGCAGTAGGTCAGTGCCTCTTGTCTTATGTAATGTGAATACATGTATTCAGACCACTTGTTTGAGCACAGTGCTCTATATTGGGTCAGCCTCATACAAAGCCTTGAAATAGAGTATGTGATGTATAATGTCTAGACTTTAACATTTTATATATTACTGAATATAATAATATCTAGACACAGGTGAAGAATCTGCCAGCAATGCTGGAGACCCAGCTTCAATCCCTGGGTTGGGAAGATCCCCTGGAAAAGGGAATAGGCTACCCACTCCAGTATTTTTGCCTGGAGAATCCCATGGACAGAGGAGCCTGGCAGGCTAAAATCCATGGGGTTTCAAAGAGTCAGACACTACTGAGCAACTTTCACTTTCACTTTTTTCAATACTACCGACTCTCTTTTCCTGTTCTGTTGGCTATCAGTGATTACTTGCCAGTTATTAAACTAGGCTCTTTAAAAGCAGGATATTCTTTTGGCTTGTTTTCTCACGTGTGTTGATTCTGTCTGGCTTCTTGTTCCTTTCTGTTGCTGGTTGATCAGAGTCCTGTGGAAGAAATCAATTTTGTGAGTCCTGCTGCTCTTCAGTTTGGTTAGTAACACTGTGGAGGTGGGAGCAGCCACTCAAACACCTGCCTTTGGTCCTGAGCACAGTTAGGGGAGAGGGGTAACAAATGGCTGCTTGGTAAGTGTGAACTTAGGGTTATCAGTCCCTAAGTTGTCCACCTGCCGTGTCTACCTCCCCAGCTCCAGTACATGTTTAATAAACGAAAATCCCCAAGTTAGAGATTCATTCTTTTGGATTACGGCTTCCATCCTTTGTTAAAACTCAAGCAGCATCAAACATTATCTTGTTAAACATTATGGATTTTTTGGATAATTTATATTTAATTGGTTTTGTACACAGAGTTTGATCTCTGTGTAGGGAGAGATAAAGAACATATAATTCAGTTGCTAGGCACTTTGGAGGAATGTAGGAGAAAACTAGAAAAAAGAGTAAGGGCTGCCTGGAATCGTGAATATAGCTTATTCAGACATGTTACTTTACCTACAGGCAGCCTTCAATGGTTCCAGGAATGTCTGGGATGACCCTCATCTTCCCTGTAATATTTTTAGAGCAGGATTAGCAAACCCCAGGCCCATGCGCCAAATCTAATCTGCCACCTGTTTTTGTAAGTGAAGTTTTATTGTAATGTGACCATTCTCATTTGTTTACATACTCACTATGGGTACTTTCATGTTACATTGGCAACATTGAGTAGTTGTAACAAATAGGTCCACAATGTATAAAATACTTGCTTCTGGCTCTCTGTAGGAGAAGTTTGCCAGTAACTGGTCTAGAGAGTCTAGACTTTCAGAAGGTTAAGCATGGATCATAGATATCTTAAACTTATTTTAGACTTCTTAACTTTTATTCTCACCATTATATGGATTAAAGGTCTGTGGTTTTAAGGAAAGATCACTACTGATATCAGCTGGTTCAAGAAAAAATGTGCAACTTCAAAAATATTATTAAAGGATGACACTGCTATGTTTAAAAACTAAGTTGCCATTGGAAGATTAATATCTGATTGTACACATACCTGGGGGTTTCCCAGGTGGCTCAGTGGTAAAGAATCCACCTGCCGGTGCAGGAGACGCAGGAGACACAGGTTTTCTCCCTCGGCTGGGAAGATCCCTGGTGAAGGCAGTGGTAACCCACTCAAGTATTCTTGCCTGGGAAATTCCATGGACAGAAGAGTGTGGCAGGCTACAGTCCATGGGGTTGCAAAGAGTTAGAGGACTATGCAGCTGAGCATGCACACACGCATACATGTACCTGATCCACCAGACTTTTTCAGGTGCTCCCATCTTATATGAGAAAAGTGTTGCAGTTCTTCCCCCACATAGGCATTTATATTCTGTCATTTTTGAAGATGAAGTATTTATGTTAGACATTGTCACTTATTTAAATAAATATGATATAAATATAAAATGCTAATCTCACTGTTGGAAATTTTAAGTGTTTCAGACCAGTTATGTCTTACCTTCCCTTCTCTCTCTCAGCTTGAAGTCCATGGCCCAAAATGACTCTACCACTGGAGACTTTCTTCCATAAAGAGGAAGATCAGACAGGAGGCTGGGATGAACATGCCACTGCATCAGATCTCTGCCATTCCATCCCAGGATGCCACTTCTGCTAGAGTCTACAGAAGTAAAACCAAAGAAAAGGAGAGGGAAGAACAGGTATGGGGGGATATACCATTTTTAGCTTCATTATTTTTGTTCTTTGTATTAAAACAGTCTAGAATAAGCTCTGATGATCCAGTTTTTTTCTGGTAATAATTTATAAAAGCATATGGTGTGAACAGTTTTACTCAGAAGAAATTGTCTTTTTGTATGTTTCTGAGTTTTCAGATTTTGCAGTCATCTCTAGTGGTAAGAGTACATGGTTTCTGGATGTCATATGTTCAGTACTTTTTTTTCATCTTGCTGCAGATGTAAAAACATCCCCAGATATGTTTCCCATATTCTATTAATTGTCATTTAAGTTAATAGTTTTCATTTAAGGTTCAATTAAGTTAATAGCCTCTTCTTATAATTATTCTTAGCCCAAATGGATATTTAAATACCACTCAGTAGAACATTTCCTCGGTCTAGAGTACTTGCCAATACCAAGTTGAGGCTGTTAATTCTTCATTCATTGTAGTGTTGAATTCATTGTAGTGTTGAAATGAATAGCAGATAGGAATTTCTTAGTATGTATTTATATGTGGAAGCTGTACATATTTGTGTGGAATAGAGAAAGGAAAGTGTCCAACATTGTAGCAACGGGATGTCTTTTGTATAAAACCCTATTGCAGATTTGTTGTAGGTGTGTATTCAGTAAATACTTACTGAATGATATGATCTATTTGATGGAATTTTTAAGGTTTAAATAAGTAACATTTCCCTCATGTGCTTATTTATCATCCATATGTCTTTTTTTGTTGGACTGTCTATTCAAATCTTTTGTCCATTTAAAAAAACCCACCAGTTTTCTTACTGTTAATTTTGAGCATTTCTAATGTAATCTAGATACATGTCCTTTGTCAGATATGTGCTTAACAAGTGTTTACTCAAAAAAAAAAAAACAAGTGTTTACTCCAAATGTTCAGATTGTCTTTTCATGCTTCTGCTGGTTTCTTTCAAAGATGAGAGGTTTTTAATTTTGGTCAAGTCAAATTTAATTGATTTTTTTCCCTTGTTTGCATTGTACTTTGGGCATTCTGTTTAAGAAATTTTGGCCTAACCCAGGGTTGCAAATAATATCTTCTGTGTTTTCTTCTAAAAGTCTTATAGTTTTGGCTTTATGGCTTTATACTTTTGGCTTTATAGTTTTGGATCTATTTTGAATTGATTATTCTAGACTGTATGAAATATATATCCAATGTTATTTTTTTAATATGAATATCCAGTTGTGGCCAGTAACATCTGTTGAATGGACTGTCTTTTCTCTACCATATTACCTTAAATCTGTTGCTTATAATGGGGGTGTCCTTATTTTTGGAGTCTCCTGTTCCATTGAGGTATTTGCCTATCTTTACATCAGTACCTTACTGTCATGAACATTCTGACTTTATAAGTCTTAAAAATCAGATAGTGTTCTTCAGCAAACTTGTTTTGCCTATTTTAGGTTTCTTGCATGTTTATATGAATTTGAGAATCGGCTTGTCAGTTTTTACACAAAAAAGTCTACTGGGATTTTTGTTGAATCTGTAGTGAATTTGTAGTTCAGTTTGAGGGAGAATTGACATTTTGACAATATTGAGTCTCAACCCATGAACCAAGTGTATCTTCTTGTGAGAGTGAAAGTGAAAGTCACTCAGTCGTGTCTGACTCTGCGAACCCATGGACTGAACAGTCCATTCCAGGCCAGGATACTGGAGTGGGTAGCCTTTCCCTGCTCTAAGGGATCTTCCCAACCCAGAGATTGAACCCAGGTCTCCCACACTGTAGGCTGATTCTTTACCAGCTGAGCCACAAAGGAAGCCCAAATTATTTAATTGCTCTCAGCATTGTTTTGTAGATTTCAGTGTATGGTCTTTACACACCTGTCAGATTTATCCCTAAGTACTTTGTAATTTTGATGCTATTGTAAATGATACTGCTTTAAAAATTTTAACTTCCTCTTGTTCATTGCAAGCACAGAGAAATAAAATTGATTTTTTTTTTGTGTCTTGATCTTATATCTTGCAATTTTGCCAAACTCACTTATTAGTTCTAGTAACTTTTTTGTAGAGTCCACTGAATTTTCTGCATAAGTAGTTATGTCATCTGTAAATGAAGATAGTTTTATACTACCCTTTTTCTTTGGATACCTCTCTCCACATCTCCAGTAATATACTAAATAGAAGTGGTGAGAGTAGTCATCCTTGTGTTTCTTGTGACCTTAGAGGGAAGCATTCATTCTTTCAGCACTAGATATGATGATAGTTACGTTTTTTGTAGATGATCTTCAACATGTGGTTTCCTTCTATTTCTAGTTTCCTGAGAGTTTTTATACTGGTAATTTGTATCTTCTCTATTTTTTTCCCCTTGATCTGGCCAGAGGTTTATCAATTTTATTGATCTTCTTAAAGAATTCTTTTGATGTCGTAGATTTTTCTCTGTTGTCATTCTGTTTTCTGTTTCTTTCATTTCTGGTGTGGTATTTATGATTTCCTTTACTCTGTTTCCTTTAGTTTATTATTCCTTTTCTAACTTTTTAAGGTGGAAGTCAGGATTATTTGAGATCTTCCTTATTTTCTATCATAGGATTTAGTGAGTATAAATTTCCCAAGTTCTGTTTTCATGGCATTCCACAAATTCTGCTATGTTGAATTTAATTTTCATTCAGTTCAAAATACTTTCTAATCTCCCTTTTCATTTTTTCTTAGATCCATGGGTTATTTTTAAGTGTGCTATTTAATTTCCAAATTTTCTGGACTTTCCAGAGATCTTGCTCTTAATTCATCTCTAATTTAAATCCATTTTGCTCTGAAAACATATTTTGAATAACTTAAATCCTTTTAAATTTATGAAGACTTGTTTCAAGGTACAGAATGTGGTCTCTTTTGGTAAATATTATGTGTATACTTTAAAAGAATGTATTTCATTGTTGTTGGATATTTTATTTTGGATAATTCTAATTGTTGTGTTTTTAAGTTCATTGTGTGTTAGTCACTCAGTCATGTCCAACTCTGCAACCCCTGGACTGTAGCCCATAAGGCCCCTCTGTCCATGAAATTCTCTAGACAAGAATACTGGAGTGGGTTGCCATTCCCTTTCCAGGGGATCTTCCTGACCCAGGGATCGAAGCCGGGTCTCCTGCATTGCAGGCAGTTTCTTTACCCTCTGAACCACCAGGGTAATCTTTCTCTTTCAATGCCTGATCTGCCGTTAACTCTACTTGGTGTATTTTTTTTTTAATCTCAAACGTGGTATAGGGTTTTAGACCATGCCTAGTTTTTTTCCTAGAAATAGTTTAAATAAAGAGATGAATATACATCTTTAAAATGTACCTGTCCCAAATTACTGCCTTTGATTGGGTGTCATCTAGCATGAGATCATTTGTATGGCTTCTTGAATCATCTTTCTGCTTTACCTGCAAGAATCCCATGAGTTTTAACTTCATACCTAGAAACCAGATTTTCTTTTGTCATCTGTTTATCTTTTCTTGGTCCCTGAAGTGGTTTTTTTCAAACTTGCTTCCAAGCATGTTTTTCCTGTCTGGCAGTCAAATCTCCTTGTGACAGGGTGGGAGCTATTCTAGTTTGCTCAAGTACACACAGGAAGTCATAGCATGGTTGCAGTTTGAGAAGTATGTAATATAATATACTTATTTTCTTTGAGAATGAAGAAATAAGATTAGATATTTTTCTAGTAATGACATTATCAAACGTGAAATACAAATTGATCTGTTTGAACCATTACATTTTCTTGTAATCTACATGCATAGATTTTGAAGCTTAAATGTAGATAAAATTATATACAACTATGAGGTCTGGCCATTTTAAATATTCTTAGTCAAAGCCAGCAGTATTGGTTCTAGCTGTTTTATGTATTAGCAACTTACCTTTCCCAGCCAACTCTCACATAAGTCTTAAACTGGTAACGGTTTGCTTGGGGTATAGAATTGGAAGGATGTGCAGAATAACTGTAGCTGACCTCTGTGTTGTTGGTCTGTTGAGAATTTGCTAGATAATAGTCTATGTCATGTGGGTCAAACCAGGAGTATAGTTTGGGCATATGGGAGTGAAGCACTAGCAGTTGGCTTCAGAGTGTTACGTATAAATTGAGTGAAAAAGGCACATGAATATATATGTGTGGTACCAATGCAGGACTCAGTGATTATGGTTTATTGGTTGTCACTTTTGTCTTACAGATGTCCTATTAATTAAATGATTGAAAGATCATTTTTCAGATTTTCTGTCAGTAAGCCATTGAAATGAGAAAACCACCCAAATTTGTTTTTATTTATTTATTTTTCCATTTATTTTTATTAGTTGGAGGCTAATTACTTTACAATATTGTAATGGTTTTTGCCATATATTGACATGAATCAGCCATGGATTTACATGTGTTCCCCTTCCTGAACTCCCCTCCCACCTCCCTCCCCATCCCATCCCTCTGGGTCATCCCAGTGTACCAGCCCTGAGCACTTGTCTCATGAATCCAACCTGGACTGGCGATCTGTTTCACACTTGATTATATATATGTTTCAATGCTATTCTCTCAGATCATCCCACCCTCTCCTTCTCACATAGAGTCCAAAAGTCTGTTCTATACATCTGTGTCTCTTTTTCTGTCTTGTATATAGGGTTATTGTTAGCATCTTTATAAATTCCATATATATGCATTAGTATACTGCATATATTAATTGGTGTTTATCTTTCTGGCTTTCTTCACTCTGTACAATGGGCTCCAGTTTCATCTATCTCATTAGAACTGATTCAAATGTATTCTTTTTAATGGCTGAGTAATATTCCACAGTGTATATGTACCATAGCTTTCTTATCCATTCTTCTGCTGATCCAAATTTGTTTTTAAATGCAGAGGTTTCAAAAAATAATATAGCTGTAGCATTCTATAATAGTTGTTAATGACTTTTATATTTGATGTCATCAAGATAACTCCTGTATTTTACACAAATGGAGAAACAGGTCTAAAGAGAAATGTCTTGCCCACGGACACTTGAATTTGTGTATTTTTTTCTAGGTTATTTT